GTATGTATAGTACAAGCATTCTTACATAGATACAGAGTTAGTCTGGCTGAAAAAAGACAAAAGTCCATCCAGTTCAACCATAGAGAAAAAAAAAGTTATAATCCTATACCCACAGTTGATCCAGAGGAAGGCAAAAAAAAAAACCCAGCAAAGCACGATCCAATTTGCTCCTGCTGGGAAAACATTCCTTCCTGATTCCCGAGAGGCAATCGGATATTCCCTGGATCAACGTTACCTATAAATGTTAGTATCCAGTTATATTGTGTGTATCCAAGAAAGAATCCAGGCCTTTTTAAAAGCAATCCACTGAGCTGGCCAGAACCAACTCAACTCTTGAGGGAGTCTATTCCACGTTTTCACAGCTCTCACTGTGAAGAAACCTTTTTTGCGTGTTTGGAGATTAAATTTCTATTCGTCCAGATGTAAAGAGTGCCCCCTTGTCCTCTGTGATGACCTCAGGGTGAATAGCTCTACACTGAGTTCACTATATGAACCACTGATGTATTTATACATGTTGATCATATCCCCCCTTAATCTCCTCTTCTCAAGAGAGAATAAATTCAGTTCCTCTAATCTTTCCTCATAGCTGATCTCCTCCATGCCTCTTATCAGTTTGGTTGCCCTTCTCTGTACTTTCTCCAGTTTCCCAATGTTCTTTTTGTGAATTGGTGCCCAAAACTGAACTGCATATTCCAGATGAGGTGTTACTAATGATTTTTACAGGGGTAATATGATAGCTCTCTCTCTGGAGTCTATACCTCTTTTAATACAAGAGAGGATTTTGCTTGCTTTAGAAATCGCTGCTTGGCCTTGCATGCCATTATTAAGCTTGTGATCTACCAGAACTCCCAGATCCTTCTCCACCATTGATTCCCCCAGTTTTACTCCCCCTAGTATGTATGATGCATGCATATTCTTAGTCCTCAAGTGCATCACCTTACATTTATCAACATTAAACCTCATTTGCCACATAGTTGCCCAATTAAACAGTGCATTGAGGTCAGCTTGTAAGTTCAAGACATCCTGCAAGGACTTTATTCCCCTGCACAGCTTGGTGCCATCTGCAAAGACTGAAATGGTATTTTTAATCCCAGACCCTATATCAATTATAAATATATTAAAAATTAAGGGTCCCAACACTGAACCTTGGGGTACACCACTGACAACCCTAGACAATTCAGAGTATGAATCATTAACCACTACTCTTTGAATACGATTTTTTAGCCAGTTTACTATCCATTTACATACAGATTTTTCCAAGCCTGTAGACTTTACCTTACACATTAGCTGTGTGTGGGGAACTGTGTCAAATGCTTTTGCAAAATCAAAGTATACCAGGTCCACCGCCATTCTTCTGTCCAAGGTTTTGCTCACTTCCTCATAAAAAGAAATCATATTTGTTTGACAATTTCTGTCTTTCATGAATCCATGCTGTCTGCTGCTTAAAATATTTTTTTTTCCAGCAAGAACTCATCTATGTGGTCTTTTATTAAACTCTCCAGTATCTTCCCAACTATAGAAGTTAAACTAACTGGTCTATAATTACTTAGTAAATATTTTTACCCCTTTTTAAATATTGGCACCACATTGGCCTTACGCCAATCCTGTGGTACTTTGCCAGTCATTAAAGAGTCCCGAAAAATTAGAAACAATGGCTTTGAAATGACAGAGCTCAATTCTTTAAGGACTCGTGGGTGTATGCCATCCGGTCCAGGTGCTTTATTCCCTTTATTCTGTCTAAATATTTTTGGATAATATCAATTGTGAGCCAATGTGGATCATCTGGAGCTGTGTCAATGCCATGCCCATTATGGACATCATTTATTTATATTTGTTGTCACATATATGGTAGCAACACAGCACTAGTTTTGTTTTTTTATACAGTATGCTATGACATTTTCTGCCTTGAAACTGCTTTATGGTAAACAGCCCTGAAGCTTATTAGATATCGTGAAAAAGACTTGGGAACAAGACAGCACACTCTGCAGGAGTGTTAATGAACATGCCTCTCAGTTGCAGGACCAAAATACAGTAATTATTCTTGTGGTCCTGGGGTTCATGAGCATATGCAAAGGGCCCAGGAAGCTTATAACAGGATTTACAATCAGTTGGCAAGGGTAAGAACTTTTCAACCTGGACAAGGGGTCTTGGTGTTGGTTCCAATCATAGAAAATACATTTCTGGATTAATGGCAAGGCCCATTTGACATTTTTTAACAAGTTGGGGAAGTAAATTATAAAGAAGTCAGAAGTTAAGGTAGCTGACACCTTAAGGAAAGAAGCAAAAGAGTTCCTGCAGCAAAACCAGGAGACATTTTGAAAGCTTCCAGACTGTACCTTTGTGATAAAACATCACATAATAGAGCCCCAGGCTTGTGTTCATCTCAAGCCTTAGCAGATGAGTTGCAGAAAATGTTATATCTAGGGATGATAGAGAAGTCCAAGAGTGAGTGGTCCAACCCAGCAGTACTTGTTTCCAAACCTGATGGATTGATCCATTTCTGCAATTACTTTATACTTTAAAGATGAATGAGATTTCAAAGTTCTGTTCCTATCACATGCAATGGACAGATGAATTATTAGAGAGATTGCAGCCAGCCCAATTCATCCACACCAGGCACATTATCACCATACCAGTGCATCCAACTACAGTCACCCTGAACATTAACCACACTAGTCACAGTGTCCCTAGCGTCATTGCAAACAGCCACCACATTCTTAATCGCTAGCTGCACCAATTTCAGTGTCACCAGAGCCAGTGAAGCCAACAACAGTGTTCCTGGTCAAAACCACACCATTGCCAGTGCAACTGCACCAGTGCAGCCAGCCACAATGTTCTTGATCACTAGCCATATTAGTGCCAGTGTCACCAGAGCCACTGTAAGCCTGCAACAGTGTTCATGATCGCTGCCACACCAATCCCAGTGTTCCCAGACCAGTGCAGCCAACAACAGTGTTCCTGATTGCCAATACACCAAATTCTAGTGTTGCCAGACCAGTTCAGCCAGCAAGATTGTCCTGATCAATAGTCAAAGCAATAAAGTGTCACCACAGCCAGTGTAAGCTATCAGCAGTGTCCTGATCGCTGGCTACAGAACTGCCAGTGTAAGCAAGCAACAGTGTCCAGATCACTGCCACAACAGTACAGTATCACCACAGCAATGATGCTAGCATTATTGTCCTGATCACTAGCCACACCATTACCAGTGTCATCAGATCTAGTGAAGTTAGCAGTAGTGTTCTGATCACTAATCACACCAGTGTCAGGAACACCAGAGCCAGTGTAAGCCAGCAACAGTGTCCTGAACACCACCACACCAGCACAGTGTCACAAGTAAAATAAAAAATTGTGCAGAACTAATAATATGTATATGCAAGTGATAACACAATAGGATCTGCAAAAATGACTCATGCTCAGTTGGTGAATTAGTGCTGTAATAGTGTATCCACACTGTGTAATTAAATCCACACTAGGTTCTTGTCCATTAAATAATCAAGTCCCCTTTATAAATGTCCACAAAGTTCCAATTTTTTAATCCCCGAAGTTCATCAAAAGCTTGCCACCGTGTTTACCAAGACTCTTATAAAGATAATAATCAGAGGGGTATTTCCATAGTGTAGTAAGTTTATTAAGCACTAAGAGACACAAAAGTCAAAAACTCACACAATTTAGTGTCCTCTTGCACCCAGTAAGACCACTCAATCCTGGAAAGGGACTCCGCTCCACCTGCTTCTCACTGCAAGCATGCATTTCACTGAGCAGAAGTGATACTGTTAGGGATCCGGGTATGACCAGAGGTGTGTGGACTGACACAGGGAAACGCAGGCTTCAGATATGGTATAATAATAATATTTATTATTAGCTGCAAAAATAAACAAACACAGTGCAAACAAAACTAACCTATAGGTACACAGTGCAGTCAGGGCTGGAGAGGTGGAGTGGTCAGGCAGGCCAAGCCCACAGCATGGATTTCCTCAGGGAGCAGGGTCTAAGTCCCAGCCTGCTATTCACCAGGGCCCCTGATGGTGGGGATGGACTTGGTGCAGACTGGAACCAGGTCGCAACCCCTGAGTGCGTCCGGCTGTGGTAGAGAGTGCTGGCAGGTCCAGGTCCGAGCGGGATGGATGGATGACAGTCAGGAGTGAGCGTGGTCAGACTAGCTGGGTCAGTCACGGTGGGGACAGGCACGGTACAAGCAGCAGACAAGGGTAGTCAGGTCACACGCCAGGTTCAGTAACTCACGGGCAGCACGGTACAGAGGATCAGGCAGAAGGATGGTCAGGGACGAGCCGGGGGGTCAGAGCAGAAGAATGTCAGCATGGATCAGAACAGGCAGGGTCAGCAACAAGGAACGCACTACAGGAACACAGGTAACAGGAATCAGGAACAAGATACAGGGGCTCATGGGCAACATACACCAAGGCCCAGATCACAGGCTTGGTCATTCCTTATATGCACCTCCTGAAATCAGCCTCAGGTGTTTTGGCTGATTGCAGGAATGAGCCTCTGGTTGCTGAGAGCACCCGCTGGCCAGCCCTGGTACTGCAGCCCACAAGGCAGGTGAGTCCCACCACTATTGGCGAGTCCATTCCTGACAGATACCACTATTATGTTATTATTTTATTCTCTCCAGATCGGACAACTAACTCTGTTAATGTTTTGTAAATGCACCCCTATACACTATATTGCCAAAAGTATTGGGCCACCCCTCCAAATCATTGGATTCAGGTGTTCCAATCACCTCCACGGCCACGGGTGTATAAAACCAAGCACCTAGGCATGCAGACTGTTTCTACAAACATTTGTGAAAGAATGGGTTGCTCTCAGGAGCTCAGTGAATTCAAGAGTGGTACCGTGATAGGTTGCCACCTGTGCAATAAGTCCATCCATGAAACTTCCTTACTACTAAATCAGGGCTTAAAATTTCAAGTCCTGAGCTACTAGCCAGGCCTTAGAGTTACTCGCCACCAACAAACACACACAAATAGAGACACCTGTACACACACAGAAACATGTACATATACATACACACACACAGAAACATGTACACATACGCACAGAGACACATGTACACACACACATACAGACACATGTATACACACACATACATGTACATACACACAGACACATGTACAGATACACACATGTACATACACACAAACACATGTACAATTGTACATGCATACACAGACACACACATGTACACACACACACAACCCCACCCCCCCATTAAAAGTTGCAGTACTTCGTTGTTCATGCACAGATCCGGGTACTGCACTCTAGGGGGAGGCAGAGAGCACAGCACACACTCCTTGCTTTGCTTTCACTGTGCTCAACTATTGAGCAGTCTGATGGTTCCCAGTGCCAATGACAGATCCAGCCTGAGCTCCGAGCCTGCTCAGCAAGACGACCCTGGGGGACACACTTGCCCCCAACATAATTTCCACTTGCTATTGGCGAGCAGGCGAATGGAAATTTTAAGCCCTGTACAAAATTTTCCACAGTCAACTGTTAGTGGAACCAGTGCACAGTGTGCAGAAGTCACCAACTGTCTGCAGAGACAATAGCTAAAGGCCTCCAAACATCATGTGGCCTTCAGATTAGCACAACAGCAGTGTGTAGAGAGCTTCATAGAATGGGTTTCCATGGCCCAGCAGCTGCATACAAGCTTTACATCACCAAGTGCAATGTAAAGCGTTGGATGCAGTGGTGTAACGTACACTGCCACTAGACTCTAGAACTTTGTGGGAACAGTTTGTGGATGGCCCCTTCCTGTTCCAACATGACTGCGCACCAGTGCACAAAGCAAGATCCATAAAGACATGGATGAGAGAGTTTGGGGTGGAGGAACTGGACTGGCCTCAACCCGACAGAACACCTTTGGGATGAATTAGAGCGGAGACTGCAAGCCAAGCCTTCTAGTCCAACATCAGTGCCTGACCTCACAAATGCACTTCTGAAAGAAAGATCAAAATTTCCCATAGAAACACTCCTAAACCTTGTGGTCAGTCTTCCCAGAGGAGCTGAAGCTGTTATAGCTGCAAAGGGTGGGCCAATTCAATATTGAACCCTACAAACTAAGACTGGGATGCCATTAAAGTTCATGTGCATGCAAAGGCAGGCGTCCCAATACTTTTGGAAATATAGTGTATACACTGTATATAATATTCCTGTTTAACTTGTTTAATTACAAATAAGGCTTTATTAAACATTTTATTTTTTATTTGTGGCCATAATAAATAAAATATGGAAAAAAAACTACAAAATATCTTTAAAAAACTCCAGAAAGCAGCTGTTAACTGTGAGGATGTAGCAGGAGGATGGAGAAATGCATACAATGTTTGTACAGCGCAGAGGTCTTTATAGCTATGTGTGCAGGCAAGCATATACACTGCAAGGCACATGGGTTAGTCCCCATATATTAAATTACATTTCTTTGGCATAAAACATCATGCAGATGGAATAACTTAGCAAATTCCCATCTTCAGCAAATCATCATGGTCCATTTGGTTGAATTTCAAACTTGATTGAGAATTTTCTCATCTTTATCAATTTGCTTTAATGAGTAAAAAGATTTTAACTCCTATATTTTTTTGTCTGGAATAAAAACATTTCTGTAGAATAACCTGCACATGGTATTGTTTATGCTTTATGCATAAAAACTATACATACTAAAATGACCGAGACCTATATATATATATATATTAAATACTGGTTATACTTCAGTAATTTAGGAAATATATCCGCATATGAATTATTATTGTATAAATGAATACCACTGTAATGTCATAAAACAAGAGTGCATTTATTAAATGATTGTACTGCAGCATGTTAATGCAAAATATATGATACAAAAAGTACCATTAGCAACTTGCCTTCTAAAAGGTTTTACCTCCCTTCATGACCAGGCCATTTTTTGCTATTCAGCACTGTACTACCTTAACTGGAAATTGCTTGGCCATGCAACTGTACACAAATTAACTTTTTATAATTTTTTCACACAAATAGAGATTTCTTTTGGTGGTTTTTAATCACCACTTTTTTTTTTTTTTTGCTATAAATGAAAAAATACCTAAAATGTTTAAGAAAAAAAAACATGTTTTCTTGATGCACTGACTGCCAATCTCATTTCTTGAGGCCCTAAAATGCAGGACAATACAAACACCCTCCAAATGACCACTTTATTTTTTAAAACAGTTCAAAGTATTTTGATCGCAATTTTTTGGAAAATTAAGAAATGAAATAAAATTTAGTTTTTTTTCACAATATATTTTTTTTACCCACTGTCACCAGCGCAGTACAGCATCATCATAAGACTGTTGTGGTCGTGATCAGGGATACTTACTGGTGACAGTATACAAAAAAAATTATTTTTTGATTCAATTTTTGTAAACTTTTTTTCTTTTTTATTACTATTTTTTACATACTGTCATCAGAGTAGTTCAGTGTCACTAGAGAGACACTGCCGCTGGCTCACAGCTCCACTGGACACAGTTGTCAAGGGATTACACTGCTGCGCACCCCAGGGGGAACCAGCGTGCATGGGCACCTCAAATTATCAGTACGTTGGGTTGCCTGCAGCTTCCCCCCTCTCGCAATAAAATTACTGTGGGGGGCGTAAAGTGGTTAAGCTCTACCACATCACACTGATAATATCAGATGCACAATTCTTAATAGTTAGGATCTGGAAATGATTATGTAATATTGATGAAGAACAAATGGTTACTCCATAAATGGCATGAACATGCTCAGTATGGACAGTTCAGTTTAGGTTTGGATGGTTGCCACTTGTTTGTATAGATATTTTTATGTGTTTCTGAATGTTGATAGAGTATGTGCTGTATTTTTGTGAGATATGATCAGAAATAAGTAATTGAAAAAAGATAAGTCAGGCTAGTTGAAATGTTTGTTCATTGTCAAGGACAGTGTCCTTTTACCAACTGTAGGCCAAATTCACTAGCCTATAATGATCATTATTTGTAACATTATTTGTAACAAGAACCATCAATTTCTATAATGGGAGACAATAGCAATGTTTTTCTGTTTAAAGGTATATTTCTCAAAACAAATGTTATACTGGATCTTAGGGGCACATCTTGAACAATCATTTCCTTCATGTACAATATGAGGATAAAAAAAAAGATAGATAGCCCTCGCAAAACATCTATGAATGGATTCTAATATATAGGGTTATGCTTTAAAATTCCTGATGTACAGGTGAAACTCGAAAAATTTGAATATCATGCAAAAGTTCATATATTTCAGTAATGCAACTTAAAAGGTGAAAATAATATATCAGACTCATTAATGCAAAGCAAGATAGTTCAAGCCGTGATTTGTCATAATTGTGATGATTATGGCTTACAGCTCATGAAAACCCCAAAACCACAATGTCAGAAAATTAGAATATTACATGCAATCAATAAAACAAGGATTGTACATAGAATATCGGACCTCTGAAAAGTATAAGCATGCATATGTACTCAGTACTTGGTTTGGGCCACTCTTGCAGCAATTACTGCCTCAATGCGACGTGGCATGGAAGTATCAGCCTGTGGCACTGCTGAGGTGTTATGGAAAACCAGGATGCTTCAATAGCGGCCTTCAGCTCTTCTGCATTGTTCGGTCTCATGTCTTACATCTTTCTCTTGGCAATGCCCCATAGATTCTCAATGGGGTTCAGGTCAGGCGAGTTTGCTGGCCAATCAAGCATAGTAATCCCACGGTCATTGAACCAGGTTTTGGTGCTTTTGGCAGTGTGGGCAGGTGCCAAGTCCTGCTGGAAAATGAACTCAGCATCCCCATAAAGCTTGTCTGCGGAAGGAAGCATGAAGTGCTCCAAAATCTTCTGGTAGACGCCTGCGTTGACAGTGGACCAACACCAGCAGATGACATGGCTCCCCAAATCAACACAGACTGTGGAAACTTCACACTGGACTTCAAGCATCTTGCAGTGTGTGCCTCTCCATTCTTCCTCCATATTCGGGGTCCTTGGTTTCCAAAGGAGATGCAAAAGTTGCTTTCATCAGAAAAGAGCACTTTGGACCACTGAGCAACAGCCCAGGTAAGATGCTTCTGATGTTGTTTGTTGTTCATGAGCGGCTTGACAAGAAGAAAACGACATTTGAAGCCCATGTCCAGGATCCGTCTGTGTGTGGTGGCTCTTGATGCACTGACTCGTGCCCCAGTCCACTCCTTGTGAAAGTCCCCAACACTTTTGAATGGCCTTTTCCTGACAATTCTCTCCAGGCTGGGTCATCCCTGCTGCTTGTGCACCTTTTTTCTCCACACTTTTCCTTTCCACATAACTTTCTATTAATGTGCTTTGATACAGCACTTTGGGAACATGCAACTTCTTTTTCAATTACCTTTTGAGGCTTTCCCTCCTTATGGAGGGTGTCAATGATGGTTTTCTGCACAACTGTCAGGTCAGCAGTCTTTCCCATGATTGTGATTCTTACTGAACCAGACTGAGAACATTTTAAAGGCTCAGGAACCCTTTGCAGGTGTTATGGCTTAATTAGCTGATTAGAGTGGGACACTTTGAGCCTAGAATATTGCACCTTTTCACACTATTCTAATTTTCTGAGATAGTCGATTTGGGGTATTCATGAGCTGTAAGCCATAATCATCACAATTATGACAAATCATGTCTTGAACTATCTTTCCTTGCATGTAATGAGTCTATCTCATATATTAGTTTCACCTTTTAAGTTGCATTACTGAAATAAATGAACTTTTGCACGATATTCAAATTTTTCGAGTTTCACCTCTATACTGATTATACCTTTATTAACTAGTAGCCGACCGCAGATAGCCGAATGACGGCTGCACTGCGGCTGGCCAGTTCTGAGTGGACATCATATGACGTCCCCCCAGAACACGCTCTCCTGCGCGCCCCAGGGGGCGCGCACCCGGCGATCTCCGTGATCGCTGTGTCCTACGGACACAGCTGATCACGTGATGTGGTAAAAGGCCAATCACAGCGGCCTTTTACCACCTGATCAGCGGTGTCCAATGACACGCTGATCAGAGGGAAATGCAAGTGCCGGTTCTCGGCTGCACTTTCCTCACGCTTTCAGATCGTGAGGAAAGTACTGCCGAGAACCGGCAGTTGTCAGAGCGGGGATCGGCACCGATCATCAGGGCACTGATGATCAGTGCCCTGATGATCGGTGCCCAGCAGTGCCACCCGCAAGTTCCGCCCACCTGTGCCCAGCAGTGCGCCCACTAACTCCGCCCACCTGTGCCCAGCAGTGCACCCACCTGTGCCACTCTGCAGTGTCACACCTGTGCCCAGAAGTGCCACCTACATGTGCCCAGCAGTGCCACCCACCTGTGCCCATCCACCTGTGCCCACCAGTGCCACCCACCTGTGCCCACCCACCTGTGCCCACCCACCAGTGCTGCCCACCAGTGCCACCTACCAGTGCAGCCCAGCAGTGCTGCCAGTCAGTGCCACCAGTCAGTGCCCAGCGATTGTGCCAGTCAGTGCCGCCAGTCAGTGCCCAGCAGTGATGCCAGTCAGTGCCGTCTACCAGTACCCATCATCAGTGTCACCTATCAGTGCCGCCTCTCAGTGCTGCATATTAGTGCCGCCTATCAGTGACACCTCATTAGTGCTGTCTATCAGTGCCGCCTATCCGTGCCACCTCATTAGTACTGCCTATCAGTGCCCTTTAATGCTGCCCATCAGTGCCGCCTATCAGTGCCCATCAGTGCTGCCTCATCAACGCACATCAGTGAAGGAGAAAAATTACCTGTTTGAAAAATTTTATAATAGAAACAAAGAAACTTTTTTTTTTTTTCAAATTTTTTGCACCTTTTTTATTTCTAGCGCAAATAGTAAAGCGCCCAGTGGCGATTAAATACCACCAAAAGAAAGCTCTATTTGTGAGAAAAAAATTATCAAAATTTCACATGGGTACAATGTTGCATGACCGCACAATTGTCAATCAAAGTGCGGCAGCGCTGAAAGCTGAAAATTGGCCTGGTAAATAAGGGGGTATAAGTGCCTGGTAGGCAAGTGGTTAAAAAAAAGAGACTTTATTTTAGAATTACAGATTTTGGTGGCTGGAGCCAGTGAACAAAAATAAATCTTTCATGTACTGTGTTCAGAATCAAGTAAAAAAGGAGTTATAAAGCTGCTTTTGTACTGTACATTTCACATGGAAACACTTTTTTTTTGCATTTCACATACAGGATTCACAGAATGGCCTACTGGATAAGGTTTCAGAAACTTGATTCTATGACCAAGGTGTATTTGAGGTTCATATGAATATGGTATCACTGTGGTATTTTGTACTACTACGACTACAACTAATACTTTATTTCTATATGATTAGAAAACATAAAAGGTTCTTGTTTTAAATGTACAGTATTTTGATTATGATAACGCATGAGTGATCTCTAGAAGAAAACCCTTCCTTGTATTTAATTCCTGTAACGACTGGTCTCTTTCATTGCCAGGCCCTGCTCTCCATTTTCAACTTCAGGTGGTCTGACTATTTTTGCCATTTTTCACTGTTCATGTTTCACTATTGTTACTTACAGCTTTGGAAGTTATATGAAATAAGAAATGCTCCTCAAACCATACATTTTCTAAAAACACAGGACCCACAGCATAAAAAAATGGTGCTCGTGATTTTTACATTTCATGACAGTTGCACACAATTTTTTTAAAACAATATTTTCAATAAAAATACACTAAAATCATTATTAGAGCATAAAAAAACTTACAAAATGCCTACTGAATCAAAAAGATCAAACTGCATTAAGTCATTACTTAACAAATATATGTACAAATATATATATCTAAAACTGCCTTTTTTTTGGGATATCTGCATATAAACAAATTATCCCAAAAGGCTGGAGATTTGCTTCACACCTGAGTGTTGTGGTAACATGATCAGTAATGCTGTGTGTTGCAGTGCCATTCAGTTTGAATTCCCCCATGACACCTTGTCAGAGCACCTAAATGCATGTTTGCTTTAGTGCTCCGCAATGCAAAGATGGGAATCCCTATGTCTGATTTATGTGAGTTGTGCTACACTGGCACCCTATTCAAAATTAATAGGATGCTGTGCATGATAAAGGAACATTGGCACCCTGGCAATTCAGGACAAAGTGAGAGTGTCTTTAAAAGGAACCCCCCTGACCTACTGATACTCACCTTGTAAGCAATCTCCAACTGCTCCTTCCTAAGTCACAGCCACTATCAAAACAGTCAGCTGGTGTGTGTGACTGCATATCTTTAACACACATGCTGTAATGTACTGTGCAGGGGAAGACTGACCATTTGGAAACTTGGGCACTGCCTGAGGGCCCGGGGTCAGTAGGGGGCCCCATGAGATGCCCCTGGTACCTTTTTGATGGTGAAAGCAAAATCTATATGCGGCATGGTCTGAGTACTCCTGTGAGCTGATATGGTTTTGTGAGCTATCCCTGGACATCTTGAAAAATTATCCTGTCATCAAAACTGTGTGTCTTCCAGATGCATATATCCACAGTGTACAGCTGTTTGTCTTGCCCCAGTGTGCCACCATTCCTCACTGCTGTAAATGACTAAAGAGATGGAAGAGGAGAACCAAGCCCTCAGTCCATGATGGCACTAGCCTTCTCCCTCAGAGAACTGGCAAAGACTGGGCATAAGAGGCAGCAGCACTGTTAAAGAAATATGCCTGAATTCCTGCCAAAGACCATCCAGATATGAAACCACCAGTGCAACACCTCTTATCACCTGTACAGAATCAGACATCAAATAGAGGTGTCGAACCATGCATGCATCTGAAAGAGTGAGTGAACTGTGCTGAGCCTGATGATGCGGCACCAGGGACGTAGGCCTCACCAGTGACAGAGAGGGATCCTGAAACCACACTTAAAAAGCTACAAATTGCAATTAATACGTATAAAACATCCCCGCTTATTATGTCAGACTAATTAAAGGGCATAAAAAAATATCCTTGAGTCTCGGTTCACACATGTATGATTTCAAATGCCTTTTAGAACTCATTTATTCACATGACTTGTAAAATAACACTGAGCTCTATTGTGGCCATTTACATATATGTGGTGTACCCGTGTGAATTTAATAAGGGTCTTGTGTTGGGGAACAATCTAAAGAGTAGCCAATGCATTTCAGGGGTTCAACAATGACCTTCATCAGAGCTGATTGAAAACAATGTGAACAAAATAAGTGAACAGCATCTTTAATTGTATTGCCTCCAGTGTGAGACTTGTGCTTGTAATCACATTGGAAGTAATACAGTACCATTAAAGGTTAGGTTCACTACTAGTCTTTTCACATTTCCCCTTTGACTTTTATTAGAATAAAGTCATATCTGGAACTTTTAGTGGTGGTGTGGTACTTGAATTTACATTTTTGTTACATTATGCTACAAGTCATGAATATGGTAGAGATCCTCTGGGGTGTAGAATTCACCTACGAAAGAAGCAGATTTCTTACATCAACACTTGAAGATAGCCCTATTTTCCACTACCCTCAACTAAAGCTAAATTAGACAGCCATGAATACAGAGCGGAGACTATGAAGACCAGACTGTGATGAAATCATGTCTGCATAGGGAGATTTCTCTCTACCACAATCCTTAGGTTTATCCCTGCCATGCAAAAACCTGTTGTATGAGGTGCCTGGAATGTACAAGTACTGGGTGGTCCACTAAAAGAAATGCTGTACTTTTATCCTGACTTCTGTTCAAACCAATCAGTTTTCCTTGCAGGAAATGCATTTGATAAAAGATACCACTAAATTATCAAAGAGACAGAACTTTGCTCAAAATACCATTCTGTATTATCTCTTACTCCAGGGAAAAGCGAGTATACTCAAAACAAACAATACTTAGGTTGCTTGCAGACAAAAACAAATTGAGGTGTGTTTTTATATTTTTCAGGTGCTAAGGTGTTATGTGTTTTAGTCAATATACATGTGCTCCTCCTTTCTCTATGTGAAACCTTTGTTTCAGTTTATCTCAGGTAAGGCAGATGTCTCTGTGCTTTCCCTGGGCAATTTTATGTAATTAATGACTCCAATATGGACAATTAATTGCCTACTGTGCTCTCTGGACATCATGGCCTCACTCTAATTGCTCATTTTGTTTATTAAGTGGAAATGCAGGATATCTGGTGCAGCAGACACTGTGGGGAATGGAAGATTTTTTGTTTTTCCCACTGCCTCCATTCCCTCTTGTGAATAACCTTAACACTTTGGAACAAACTTATGCTACTGTATGTTACCAATGTATTTTATGCTCTTTGAGGTCTTTCCAAATAGATTACACAATCTGTCCCACATTCTTGAGTGGAAAGTAAACCAATTTTGGTTAGATTTAATATCTTTTCCTACTTCCAGTCTGGACAGACTGGTGATTTTTTTTTTAACAATTCATACTTGCTCTGCTTCCACAGGGATCATACTGGATGCCTTAAAAGTGATTCTTATGAGTTTTTTACTCCAAATTTTTTTTCTGGGTGAAGAGATCAACCAGGAAGTAGGACACTATTATGTATAAAGTAGTATAAAATGAGAAAACCTATATAGAGAACCCTACACACACTAATCAGGCCAAGTGGTATGAAATACAAAAAAGCCAGAATATTCTGGCATTAACTAACAGCATGATTGCCCTGCTTGCCGGACATCTCCAAGATGTCCAGGATCAGCACATGTGGCGCCTGACGTTATCAAAATGTGACGCATTTCTGAGCATGTGCAGGGCGAGATGAGTCCAGGTGCACTCTTTCATCAGGCAGCTGCCTGATGAAAGAGCGCACCTGGACTCATCTCGTCCTGCACATGCTCAGAAACGCGTCACATTTTGATGACGTCAGACGGAACATGTGCTGATCCCGGACATCTTGGAGACTCTGCCAGGCTCTACAATCCATGCTGCATATGCACAGCACCATCTGCTGGCAGACACCTTGGAGATTCCACAAGCCTTACCATCCATTTTGCACATGCACAGCACCACCTGCTGATGGACTCAATCGATCTCCTCTCTGGATCAGACACACAACAACATCTGGCTACAGATGTCTCACTCTCTTACCCATGAGCCTGTTTTTATATTCTAAGATGTGAGTTACTACTTTCTATTAAATACCTTTACAGTACACACTTAGAGGCGCTGTGTTTCTTTGTTTCTCTTCTGCAGAGTTATTCTTCGCTCCTACGCAGCTTGCCCTTAGTACCTACTGGACTACCTTCACCCCTGCCTATATGGAACTCATCAAACATACATGGACTGCCACACCATGCGCTTGTTATCCCTTTTGTATTGGCTGCCAGGTAAATCCTGACAACCCTGACCACAGGTAGGTGCTATAGAGGGGAAGTACAAAGGGAAAGAAGAATAATGTCCTCATTGAGGTGGAAAGAAAAGACCATCTAGGTAGGAAGGAAGCTTTTGGTCTCGAAACCATATTAGCCTTGTGCAAAACAAGAAAGGGCTATTTACAGGAAAGAGCTGTCAACTCAGGAATGCACCTAAAAGACATAATGGCGACTTCCAGATCC